GAGCCCAGCCGTCCTGACGACAGCCGACCGCGCCTTGCAAGCATGCTCGCAGCTGCACATGCACAGAACAAAATTAACTAAATTCAGGGAGACGCAACTTAGCGCCGAGTATGCGAGGAGTCGCCGAGACGGCGCCAGCTCAACACGATTAAGCCGCAACTAAACGGCAGCCAGAGACTGACAGCGGGACGACGCGCAGTGGCGCAAAGGGTGGTGGGGATACGCGAAGCGTAAAGACTTGCACAACGCAAGGTTCCGTTCGAAAGGGAACTCAGCTCCATCACCCCCCAAAGGCGAGATTTTCAACCCGCCCTGGGGATGGGCAATTTACACTCGGTTGTGCCCCATCGCTAATTCGAAACATGAATGTTCATGAAAAGGTCTGCCCGCGCGCCCTTACAAATTCTGCCAGAAACCATTGAAATTCAACGGTTTGACCACATTCGACCTAACGGGCCTCTTGCGCGCGCGTCGAATCTTTCGAACGCCCTTGCGCGCGTGCTGGGGGGGGGCATGAACCTTGACAAATACTACCATGCGGGCTCCCCGCGCCCGTTGGCCGCGCGCGCATGTCGAAATTCTTCCAAACCAAAATATTCATTCCCGCCGCGTGGACACCATCATCGTCATCGGCGTGATCAGCATCGGCACCATCATTTGCCGCGCCGTCATCATCGTCATCGCCGGCACTAGCATCGCTACAATGATCATCGTGTCTGCCGTTGTCGACGTCGCCATTATACCGCGCCCGCCCGAGTCACGGACTCGAATTGAAACGCCCGCGTGTCACCGCGGCCTGCGGGAAACGCTGAGAAGTACCCAGCGCCCAACGCCACCGCGGCCGCGTCGGTCGCGCCAGACTAGCTGGCCGCTCCGCGCGCGAGCCTGCGCGCACCAGCGCAGCCGCAGCGGAGCGCTAGCCAGCGCCAAGCAATCATCGCAATCGCCGCCGAACGGGTTTTGCAAACCAAGTTGCGCGTGGGTGGGTGCGGTGATTGCGCGAGCAGTGGACTTGGCAACTCGCTACTGAGCACTGGTCAATTGAACCGCATGCGCGGCACCACATAGATTTTCTACCCTCATAACGAAGTCGGATCTACCACCACCACCCTGGCTTTTGCGGTTCCCCCAGAGATAACACGATGTATACATGACTCTGCCCACTCGCTGATCTCCAAGAAGAGTTCAGACTGTCCCAACCAAACTGGAATCCGCCCCCATCATCCTCGTTTGAAATACGATGCGCACGCAATCGTTTATCAACTTTCAGATGTTCCACACATGCGCATCGACGCGCGCGCATGCCAGAATTCATCCAACAAGCGTGGGCTTCGCAGGGGATTCAAGATCGAGGTTCCTCAAATCAGAACTCTAAAACACGTTTTCACAATATGTTGCTCCAAAGCTCAGATTCTGAAGCATATGTAAAGATTGTGCAGCATGCTCCTCACATGAAACCAAGCGGACCTCTCGCGGGCGCGTGTCGAAATCATTCGAACGCCCTTGTGCGCTTGCTGGGGGGGAAACGGACCGCATGCAAACAATGAGAGAAAGTCCACACGCGCGCGGCGTCGCACGCGCATGCAGGAATCCTTCAAACAAACCGGCTGCTGCGTAAGGATTTCAAGATCGACGCTCCCGAAAACAATTTTGAAAATACAAAAACTGTTTTACAACATAGGTGTTCAAACAAGTCTGCGCGGTCTTGCGCCTTTTTGAGAAAAACAGCCTGGCTTCAACAGGTTCACCACATACGACCCAGCGGGTTTCCCGCGCGCACATGTCGGAATCATTCGAACGCCCTTTGCGAGCTTGCTGGCGGCACGGATCCCACGCAAACAATGAGACAAAGTCCACGCGCGCCCGGCGTCGCACGCGCATGCAGAAATCTTTTTTGTCGCAAAGAAATATGCAAGAAAAAACACGTTGCGTCTTGAAGAGTTCAAGTTCGAGGTTCCCGGGAACAGAAGAAACAGGCCAACGATTGTGCAACATGCCGCTTCCAAACAAGTTCGCGCGCGCGTCTGCAAATTCTTGCGGAAGCCACACATATTCAACATTTTCTTCCAATGAGACCACGCGGGCATCTCGAACGCCTTTGCGAGCTTGCTGGGGGGACACGATCCCTGTCAAAAACCACCATGGGGGGCCACTCGCGCCCGTCGGCCGCGCGCGCACGCCAGCGAGAAGCACACCGGCTGGGGCACCCGCTGGCTAACGTGTGCTGAGAACGCAAGGATGCTCGAACAACAGAGGCCATGCTCTTGGAACGCGACGCCGATGCAATAAAGCAAAACTGCCTCGGGCAGAGAGTTCCTGAGAACATTCGAGCGCAAGCCACGACAGTGTCCTGGAACGTTCCCTGGTGCGCCTCTGGGCAGGCCCAGACGACTCGCCGCTGCTCGTGAGGAGGAGGGGGAAGAGAGGAGGAGGACCAGGCGCCCCTGCGGGCGACAACCCCCGCGCCCATCACTGGCCCCCGCAGCCCGCGGGAACAGGACCACGCTTGATGGGCCTGTTTTCCACCATCACCACCACCATCAGCTGGAGGGGGGAAGGAGGTAGAGGACGAGGAAGAGGAGGAAGAGGAGGACGAGGA